ATTATATTACAACAGCTCAATAAAAGAAAGAAAAAAAAAGAGAAAGAGAATGAGAAATAAAAGAATGTAAAATATTATAAATTCGTTTGATTTCAATTAATTAGAAAAAAATGTTTAAAAAATAAAAAAAAATCTAGTGCTTAGCAATGAAATCAGTTCGCATCATTCCATTTTCTGGAATTTCTTTCTTTATTGAAAAAATATATATATATACATATATATGTATATATAAACATATATATAAGTACATTTATTAAATGTATATTTTGAATTTGAACGATAAATATGCATTGCCATTTTCTATTAATGAATTCAGTCATATCGATCTTATTATTCACGTTTTTGCGATATGCGAATATGCGAATTGAGAAAATGCAGTAACTTGACTATCTTAGATTACTATAATTATTATCTTTTCGAAAAAATAAAAAATATTAAACATTGTGTATAAAAAAAAAAGAAGAACAATGAGATATGAAATTAATGAATTAAGAATAGCTTAGTATAATATTACTAAGCGATCATGTAAGCACAATGAAAGCTTAAATATTTTACTAATTTACGCGTTCCTGAGCCTTGCTAATAAAGAAATTATACTCGAAGATGGGTGTCTTATATTCCTTATTATCAATATCGAGTCATTCTGTGATTTCAGATAGATAATAAATCATCTTTAATTAATATATCTTTCAATTTAGAAAATATATTTATAAAAACACAAGAAAAACAAAACGAATCTTTCAATGCAAAATTATTTAAGTAACAAAAAAAATTTACACGAGAAAGACAATCAGAATGATTTATTGTGTTTGTTAAATCAAATTTTATCAAATTAAATTTCTTCTATTATATTATTATTGAATTTGAAATGAGAGAGAAAGGAAGAAAAGGTAACACATTTACATTCTCTTAGATATAGCAATGATACATACATGGCACAATTATATACTTATGAATTATATATATTTATATTCATCTATAAAATTCGAACGAAAATATATATAAAGAAAGGGATAAGAATTATAGGTAAACTTATAGTAAACTTACTATAGTAAACTAAATATAATAGATGAGATATTGGGTCAACCACTAAATACAGGTGTTGTTGCAAAAATTATCAAGCAACAAGGATGAATAGTGAAAGATAGAAATTATGATAGTTTGCCAAAACACCAGAATTCGAAGAAAACGCAGCAGGTAACGTGGCTAGAAAAGAAGGTTGCGTCAAAGGTTAACAATGCATTCCATAGCGGTTACAATGGCATCTTTCGCATTGCTCACATTGCGAAGTAAATAGATGTTTGTAAAAGAAAATTCTCATAAAATTTTTGATAGATAAGAAAATATGATCCGTGGTAAAGAATGAAGAAGAAATAGAACAGAACAGAAGAAGAACAAGAACTGGGAAAAAGAGAAAAGAAAGCAAAAAAGACACAAAACGAGATTGTCGTCGACAATATGATATATAATGGAATTATAAACTTATGTGATTTATTATGTGAACTTAATTTATATATATTATGTTAACTTGATACAAGCTATAAAATATCGCATATCGAATGTGTAATATATGATATGAAATGGAAACGCCAATCTATATATAAGGAGGAAATGAAAAATATCATCGATGCTGCATCGCGATTGTCACGAGTAATTTATAACAATTTAGCGAACAAAAATTTCATGGATTACTTATTTTGTAAATTATTTTTGAATTTTTGAAAAAATTTGTAGTATATGGAAATCGAAAAAATTGGACAACTGATATATTGATTAAATATATTATTAAAATTATAAAATGAGAGAAATAATATATATATAAAAAGAGGTTATTCAGTTGTATAGTGAAATTATCGAGGCAATGCGAAACGATATAAAATTTAATCAAAAATATTACAAACGCAACTGTTGATCTCAGACAGAGAATTTTAATTTGCTGACTACGTGAACGACGATATTGCGCATCACTTACTAATGAAGAAAACGCGAACAACATTGATAGTAGTAAAAATATTTGTATATGTGGCAATGGAAATGGTATATGGTGCATTGAGCTTTCAATTATTCAATTCATTTTGAATCATTTTTAAAAAAAAAAATTCCATTTTATAAAGAAAAAAGGAAAATAAATGCATAAATGTATATTAGAACTTGCATATTAGAATTTAGATTTATTTAGCATCAGAGATGAATAATTCATCGCGATTTGATATATAAAATGTATTTCAATAATTACATCAAGTGTTAAATGAAAAGAAATTTTATCAAGGTTACATAATACATTTGCTATTTTTATAGCGATTTTATTTAACTTATTGTTATATTCTTTAGTTTTAATAATTATTTTCGCATTAATAGACAATATTTTGAAAAATATGGAAATTTCTAAAAAATTTAAATGCCATTAATTAATAATCTACATTTTAATTTCCAATCTAATTCCACAAAATTATTTTTTCTCTTACTTTTCCCCATGTTGTAACTAAACAACGCACATTTTATTTCAATTTATAATAATTATTTATGTTAATTGCAAGGAAAGTCGAAATCAATATAATGTTAATATATATAATATATTATGAATATATTATGAATATATAATGTTAATTGAATATATAATGAGCATTTCCAATTCGATTTTGACAGAGATATACATTGAAATCTTATTTTCTTAATATCAGTGACAAATATAATTGTAAGCAAAAGATAAAATTCAGAATATATTAAATATATAATATATAAATTATATATAAAGATAACTATAATGAACATTGGTCACGCGATTAATATTGCGTGATAATAATCACATCACGTTGTTGACGTAACCGAACAATCTATTTCACTTTTAGATTAATAGATTAATATGTAGATTAGATTAGATTAGTAGATAGATTAATATGTAGATTAAAACAATAGTAGTTAGAAAACTAGCATTATTTCGACAAATATGACAAGATCGAATTCCAAATTTAATATGCACAGAATAAAAAATCATTATAATTGCAGTAAAAGATATATATAATATACTAAAAGAAAATATAACTTATTAGAAATAATGAGATTACTAACCTATATGCATTCTATTCATGACTGGTTTTAAATAAATTAAATAAATAAATGAAATGCTTAAAGTTATATTATTAAACACACAAAAAAAAATAAAAATAAAAATGCAATCACAAATGAAATAAAATTCTAAACATAATAGATACTTTTCTTAGTTAGCTATTTAGCTATTCCAAATAATTTCCAAATAGAATATAGAAATTCCATTTCATAAAACTATTTCTGAAAAATCGATATTATTAGTGAATAGTAAACAAATAGTAAAGAAGTCGTGATAAGAGAAATAAAATACGAAGTAAATTAATGTGTTCAAAAAGATTGTAATTGAAAAGGATAATAGTGCAAAATTGGTTAGTGTGACGTATTTTTTTGGTCGATAACAAAAACACTTATTCATACAAGTAATTAACAAGAAAAAAAAGAAAGCAATCAAAATGCCGCAGTTTTCCGCTGAAAACCTTTCAAAACGTTCAATTAGGCACAACGCCAAACTAAACTCGATTCAACAATGTTGCACAGATCAAATACCAAACGATAAACTGAGATTTTCTTGCTATAAATTTCTTTACATAATCTATCATCAAATACGTTATTATTTAAAAATACAAACAATTGAAATATATTATATAAACACTCGACAGCGATAAAACGATAAAATCAAAAAATAGATAATAATAGAAATAGATAAATGAAAAAATGAACATTCGAAAACTTTCAAATCTCACAAAGGTGTATTAATTTTGATAAGAGATATATTTTATAAATTTTTTAAATGAAAGACATTTAACTTAAAAAGTGATATTAAATATAATTATGATTAAAGAATATATGCAGTGTATTTAGTCAAATATTTCAATCCTGAATATTTCAGGAAGAGAGAGAAAAACTGGCTAAAAATTTTAATTCTGAAAATGATTTAATAATTGTAAAGATATAATCGATATAATTCAAGAAATATCATCAAATATTAACAATTAAATAATTTAATTAATAAAATACTTTAATTTTTTCCAATAAAAAAATATATAAGTAATTTTGTTTAATTTATAAGTAAATAATTTTGTTTTATTTATTAAAAATATTGAATTTTTTATTGCAATTCTTCTTGCGAACTTTTATTTTGTCATTAGTTCGCATATTTTAAAATATCAATAATTATACAACAACATTGAATTAAAATAAAATGAGAAAAAAGAAAATTTTATGATGGTAGCAAATTGTTAAGATAGCATGCAACAAAAATTGCTTAGCACTACCAGTGACGTCACTCTATTTTAACGAAGCGAGGAAACTGTTGTACTCCGGCTGAGATATTGAATGGGGAACGAGTACGTCTCTCCTGCCTTCCCCGACCACTGGAAGGTCATTGCACACTCGTAAACAAACAGGACGCGCCGTCTATAGTATGCTCGGCCGCGTCACTGAACGTACACACAGATCTAATACACACAGCTCAAGGTCGTCCTGTCATAATAGGACGTTGCATATCGATAATCGATTTAAACACAATTTGACTAAAAAATTGTTAAAAAAATCAAACTTCCTAATAAATCATATAATTAAAATCTGAAAAATAAAAAATATAATTGATGAAATTGTTGATCAATGAATTTTTTTCAAATTTTTTACATTTCTAAAACATGCAACTAACGGATTACTGATTCGCGCTATATAAAAGTCCCATCAGTTCACGGACAATGATACAAATTACTTATATTGATTGTTAGAAATTTAAATATAGCGGTCGAGAATGAGTTTTCATATTTGAAATTCATAATTATTATTTGAACTTCCTCATATGTGCAATTTAATTAAATGCTACATTTTGACTTATTATTTACTTCATTTTATTATTTCAATATAACTTCAAATGAGAAATAGTCTATATATTATAATATGAAGAAATATTATTTCAAAATTAGATTCATTTTTACCTGTTGCCAATGATCCTCGAGCGATGGCTGGGCCGAAAAATATCCGGTATCATGTATATCTTGCAATTCCCTAAATATGTTTCCACTCGGCAGGATATCCATGGTTACGCCGGCGATCCGTTCGTAACTAGTTTCAACACTAATAATAAAATAAAGAACTGATTTTTTCAAACCAATTAACAAGCAAATAAACAAATAACAGAACTGTATACTGTTATATTCGTATACGAGAACTTAGATGATAACGTAGCCCGATCACTAATTACACCGATGCGCCGACGCGCAGCTCGTAACTCTAACGCACGCACGTACACGTAGTAAATTGTGACACGCACACGTGTTTATCATCGAAGAAACACTGATGATGGTTACAACGATGTCACTGTAGTAGGATGATCGACAGACCGATATGGAGTGAGAAAAAAGATTTACAAGCAATCACTAGTCGATGAGAGAAAGACTGGCTAACTGCTTCCTGCTTTCCGCGCTTACACATATACAACGCACCCTACTGGCTCATATTAAAAGAATATCTGATCGTATAATCGGCGTTTTACGATTGCGGTTAGAATGCTGATATAATTGCTGAAAAGAAAGCAGCACGCAACACACTACACGATCTTTGTAGACAAAGAAACAATTCACTGTAAAGCTGTTGCTTGTGCAGATCGATGATCTGTCTGTTCTTGATAGCGTCGCGAAACACGCGCGACAGCATCCATCATACGTGGAACGCGACAATAAGAAATCTTACAATCACGAAAGACGAAACGTCAAAGCCAGCATGAGTCACGATCCGATATTCATTCGATTCATTTGATTTTTCTCTTTTTATCTTTTGTTGTTCATTTACTATGTTTGTTCTAATTTTTTCAACTCTCTATCGATTCTCTTTTATCTATTATTCTTTTCTTTCTTTTTCTATTTTTTTTTACTTTTTCTTCTTCTTCTATCTTTTTCAATATGACACCAAATTTTAAAGCCAATCACTATTAATTTTCTATCTTCACTGGTTTTTTCCTTCCTTTCTTTTTATTTCGAAAACTCATGTACATATACACTTTAATGAAGAACACACGCGGACGTCACCTACCGGCTTTTTTGCTGCAATACTTGCGGACGTGGCGTCGTTCTGTCACTCTTTTCAATCGTGTCGACCACAACAATTATGAATTAGATACAAGTCGCTAAGGATGAATAAAGAAATACTATGAGATATTTAACACTCTATAAGGAATAACGATATCCCCAACAGTTAACGCACACAAACTCTTCCGCGCGAGCGCCGAAGAGTGACTGACGTTCTCTTGCCATAACTATATGCGAGGAAGCCCGAACTCGGCCGAGTAATACCGAACGCGTGCTTGCTGCCGGCGACACACTATCCCAGCAAGCAACCGCTTCGCGTCGTGGCAGCACTGCTCGGTAGCGTCGCGACGCCAATTCCCTTAGATTTTTCATTATATTCATAGAACAATCTTTGATTTACATTCTATTTTCTTTTCAAATATTCTTAAATAGAATAACTAGAATTATATTCAGGAAAAAAAGATAGAATTGTTATGTATGAACTAATAAATTAAATTATTTCCTTTTTTTTTTCTCACTTTAAAGATATAACCTAAGTATATAGTTTATTTATTTATAATTAGAACAATAGTTTTCAAAAGTTTATTATAATATAATTGAAAAAAATATTGGCATATTTTCAAATATGTTAACAACTTAAACTATTTTAAGAAGTTGATGAATTAGTTTTACTAGATAGTATATAAACAAAATTTCTAAAAAATTGCAATTTTTAGAAATGAAAAAAAAGGAAATAAAATAAGAAATAATGGAGAATATTTTTTCCAATTTTTTTATCTGAATCTTTAGTGAAAATTTAAAAATTATATTTTATAAATTATATCAGTAATTCATATCAATTATTTGTTGTAAATTGAAATTAATTAATGCAGAAACAAATAACAGATATTAAAAAATACAAAAATCTTTAGATTTTAGACCGAAAGTTATGAAAAATTGTGATTTTCATTATCTTTAATCATTTCTAGCTCATAACAACGTTAATCAATTTTGAATTACCTTGTATAACTGTATAAGTATAAAATGTTTTTATTAAAAGCTCAAATAAAAAATGACAGAAATATCTCTTTTTGCAATGTTATAATAAATTGCAATTTTTTCAATTTATTTTATATATCATCTAATAAATTAATCTAATTAGTTTAATTTTTTAAAAAAATTCAAGTCATTAAGTTCAATTTTAAAAAAATTATTTTAAAGAATCGTATCAATACTATTTTAACCAATTATATATAAATATACATAAAAATGTAAATATATGTAAATATATATAAATGTTATTTAAAAATAGTTTGGTAAAAGATCATTATATCTTATATTTCTTTTCATATCAAATTATCGATTTTTTTAATAGATAATAATCTAATCATTATCATGAATAATAATTAATTTCTTTACAACGTTAATTATACTTTCTGTTTTATCCTTTTTCTAAGCCAAAACTCTAATAAATTAGTTAAAATTCAGTTTAATAGTTATTATTAACATTATCCATTTATTTTTTTTTAACTTATATTCATTATTTTAATCATTATATGTGATTATTTTAATGTTCAACAAACTCATTTCAAACATATATGTATATATAGAATTAAAGTAACATTTCTTATAAATACAATTATAGAAATACTTAATTATATTAGTAATATTGCATATACTTTAAATTTTTCGCATTTTCTTTTATTTTTTATTCGAAGTCGATCTATATAGCACATCATATTTTTAATAGGCACAATTATGTTTATAAATTTTAAATATTAAATATTGCGTATACTTAAATAGGATTCTTGTTCATCACAATCCGTCAAATTCGTTTTATTACATCGAGTGTTATATGAAATAAAGAATTTATTCAAAAATGAATAATCAGTCATGAGTCAACCAGTACCTAAGACAGAAGACAAAAAGAGATGAATGTTATGTCGTTATATATGATTCATAAATTCTGCGCAGTCGTTAAAAACTGTTTTATAGATATTATATATATCTATTACTATATATAGATATTGTTCGAAAATATTAGATTAGATATGTAAATGGCATTTATGGTGAACAGAATTAAAAGACTAATTTCGGTTCAAGACTGTTTCCGTTAAAGCTATTCGTCATCAAGTTATCATAAGAGTGTACAGAATGGTCGCCGCATTCGAAAATACTTTTTTTTTTCCGTTTTTCTTTTTTTATCTGCTATTTTTTTATAATCATATAATAAATATATTTTGAATGATGCAACCATATTAGAATGTATGTATACAAAAATTCATGTAATATATTTTCAAGCTAGATAATTAAGAAAACAAATAAAAGAAGAAAATGCAAAACGCACTAATATTCATCAATTGTGATAATATGTGAAATATAATCATATAAATATTGTAAATATTATAAATATCACTTGTAAATATCATTATGAATATATGCCTTGAAATTTGAACGTAAATCAAATATAACTTCTTAATTTTAACTTTACTTTTTCAGATATATTTAATTCTCTCAATAAAAAAAAAGTCAAATACTATAAATGATAATTGATATTATAGTCTTTCGAAAACTTTCTCGTATATCGAGATATATTAGATCGTCAATTTTCGATATTATGGAGCAAATCGATAGAACGTTTATTAATCTGAAAAATAGTTATTCAGTGAATATTAGCATATAACATGATCGCTTCAGTATCGCCTCCGTTAATTTCATTTTTCTTTTTTATCATTTTACTATTATTTTTTTTTCTTTTTATATTTATAGGATGTTAATATATTTATGGAATTTATTTATTAAGTTACAAGCAATTGAAACTTATATTAAGTAAAGCGAGATAGAAATAGAATATTTCTATTTTCATCATTTGTTTTCTCTTACAATTATTGCATTTTGTTTCTATTTATAACTTAACAAACTAATTTCTTATAATTTAATGAATAAATTTTAATTGATATTTTGACATATAAGATGAACTACTTAATTATTGTTTGTAACTGGTTTTATTGAAGAGAAAAATTATAGAGAAAAAAATTAAAATATAGCTTAAAATTTATACTTGTACTTACTTTTTTTCTAATATGCAACGATGCATTAAAATAATGATATCTATGAACATAAATCTTACCAAATTATTCGAATTTTTTCTCTTTATGATTCTTCTCTATGAATGGAACTATAATTTGTCTCAATTGTGTGGATCATCATGTGTATTTTGTTATTTATTCCTAGAATATGTTACTAATTCCTAGAATCAAGATATCTCAGAATATTTAATCTTCTGTTTAAAGAATATACAGAATTGTATATACGCTTTACTGAATTCGATTACAAAGTGCATTTTACAAGTACGAATGACGAATTTATATTAATGACAAATTAATTATTTTTCGCTTGAAAACAAAATCATCTGAACTAAAAATCGCATTGCGAAGATTTAATATTGAACATATATGATCTACTTATCTCTATAATATTATCTCTATATACATCTACATATATCATCTACTCATCTCTATAATATATTATTTGATATTACTGGTTGTTAATCCATTTAGCATTTTGTCAATATTCATATAACGTTAAACGTTAGCTTACAAATATTTTTGATCAATTAATTTAACGCTGCTAGAAATGTTGTCATTCGTAAATATAGTGATCTAATTATTAATCCTCTTTTGATCGTTTATGTTATCAGAATATAATTATTATATGAAATTATATGAAATATTTCAATTTAGTTCAAAATAATTATTTTAATATGAAAACTTAGACATTATTTAATCTCTGATTTCAATAATTTTTTGATAATAAAATTAAAAATTATATAAAATAATAATAACTTAAATGATCCAGAAAGATAAGAAATCCAATATCAAAATAAAAATTAAAACTATTAACATTTTTGAAAAAATTAATATAATATTTTTCTATCTTGTTTTTCCACGAAAACATTATAACGTTATGCGTGAAGAACATAATTATCCCGAGTTACATTCTACTTATAACGTTTCCTCTTTCTGTCCGCTCTGGTCCAAGGTGAACCACACAGACCTCATTGGATAACATTCAACTCTCATTATGTTGTAGTTTTCTCTAGTTGCTCATGATTTTCACGATTGTGTACAGAGCCGCAAGAAACACCGTAAGTGTGATGTAATATCGCATTGCATAATGTTCACAATAAAGACTACACACGCGCATACTGCGTTGCAAACTATTCATGTCAACTATTTTTCGAACAACCTTCATTAACAGCTTCGTTTGCTCATATCCTTGAAACCTAGAATTTATAGGACGAAGACGCTCACGATAGCTTAACATTAATGATCTCTTTCTAATGTAGATAGTTTATTGGATAATAAAAAATGCATGTATCATCCGATCGATTAATATCTTAAATGTTTGATCTATATTTATCTGCATCCATCGACAAATGGTTTTTGATTTGATTTGATAAAGGCCGAAATAAATCATGTATTTCGAATAAGCATTTGCCATTTCAAATAATTTAAATAAATAATATGTTGATAATTGTTGAAATACATTTTCGATTGTTTTTGAAATACTTCAAAAAGACAAAAAGCGGAAACTAATAAGGAGGATATATATATATAATATCGAATTAAAATTATCAACATAAAATCATTCGTATCAAAGATTTATTTTTAATTTTTTTATATCTTCCAACATTTTCGTCTCTAAAAATTTGTTTCCATTAAAATCAAATAACATTTGTCAATTTAGATCCATGTGTAAGTACTTATTATGCAATGTGTACTGTTTTATCAAAATAATAATCTACATTATCAATAAATTAGTCAATAATTAAACAATCGAAGAAATTGAATAAAAGATAAAGAATTCTTAAATTTTCTTCTGAATATTTTTTAAGGATTTAATATTTTTCAATCAAAAAAAAAAAAATCGATAAAAAAATATTTTAACAATACAAAATATTGTAAATTAAAATATTTTAAAGAATTTTTACTCTGAATTCAAATTATTGATTTGATTAAATACTAAATATGACCGCGATAAAAACAAGTTTAAAACTAATTTGAATTATATAATATTTTATGTTAAAAACGTATCAAAAATATAATAATACATTAATAATATGAATTAATTTCGAATCTTATCTCTTTTATTAAGTCATTAAGGCCTATCTTCGTTATGCTGGA